GTAAACATTGAGTATGAACTTAGAATAGTAATAAGCTTGAGCAAGGTGGTTTTTGTAGGGTCAGGAGGATCAAGACAAAGTCATCATCAGCTACATAGGGAGTTGTTGGCCAGCTTGGATTATGAGAGCCTGTCTAAAATCACAATAACAATAACAACAACAACAACAACAACAACAACAACAAAACCAATCAGAAAGCAGTAGAAGTGTGTTCTGGAAAGATCTGTAACCTTCAGTCCCATTTGATTATATACATGCAACAAGATTGCCAAGTATAGACAGCTGTTTTGGTTTTGTCTGTTTAATAAAGACACCAAAACTTAAATATTCAAATAAAAGCCATCTTTTGACACAGTCATCTTTGGAAACATAATTATTTTCTCCAAGGATGCTGCTGTGGCTTTTGAAGCACGTATCAGTAGCATCTCTTCTAATATCACTCATTTCAAAGACACTTTATAAAAACTTATACAAAGAATAAAAAAAAATCTCATTTTAACCCCAAACATTACTTGACTTGTTGATATGTGTTCATGTTTGGATTCAAGTGACTTTTGGTGATTTTTTTTTTAAAAACAATTTATGTGTATGAGTGTTTTGTCTGCAGGTATTTAAGTGCACCCATGCATGCAATGCCCACGGAGGCCAGAAGAAGGTTTTAGATCTCTTAGAACTGGACTTACAGGTGGCTGTTAGCCTTCATGTGGGTGCTGGGAACTGAATCTGGGTCCTTAGCAAGAGGAGCCAGTGCTCTTAACCACTGAGTCATCTCTCCAGGCCCTTTTGGTGATTTGAAAAAAAAAAAAAAAAAAAAAAAAACCTTCTAAGATTAAGATTTAACACTGTTGTGGGCATCTAAAGGATGGTATAGCCTCTCTAACAGTGGTGTGCCTCTGCCTGCTGCTGTTCACTGCGGCACTCTAAGGATTGGCCAAGACACTAAGGAACGCCAGTGGGGTGCTCCCCATCTGCTGCATGGAGCTTACGCACCATCTCAACCTTCATTGTGTCACTACCTACCCCAACACTGAAAGCCAGGGAAGACTCAAATTGTGCATCAATTGTTTGGGGGTGATGTCATTGGGCATAAAATCTCAAATGTACACCAGAGCCAGCAGAGTAAATTCTAGAATAAAGAACTGAAAGAGAAAGAGAGAGAGAGAGAGAGAGAGAGACAGAGAGAGAGAGAGAGAGCAGCCAGAACATCATAAGCCACTCATTACTTAATTCTCAGGCCCATGGCTGTCAGAATCTTTAATTATCCAAAATAATCTATAAACATGGATTAAAAAATAATAATCCCTTAGGCTGGAGAAATTACTTAGCAGTTACGAACAATGGTTGCTCTTCCAGATGACCGAGGTTCCATTCCCAGCACCCACGTAGTGGCTAACAACTATCCGTAACTCCAGTTCCAGAGAACCTGATGCCCTCTTCTGTTTCCATGGCATCGCATGTACAGGTGCATTAACATGCAGGCAAAACAGTCATAAAAGAAAAATAAAACTTAAAAAAAGTAGTCTCCTAAACTTGGTATAGTAGTATATGCCCATAATCTGAGCATTTAGGAAGCTAAGGCAGGAGGATTGAGGGCTCTAGGCAGCCTAGGCAACACAGTGAGACCCTGCCTCACAAAAACAAAACCAACCAAACAAACCCTCTTTATTATTAAACATGAGTAAAAAGGTTAAAACTCCCAATGTCCATAAAGGCATAACATGCCCACATATATTTATTTGTTCTGTGGACCACAAGTTTGTGCCCTCCAGCACAAAAACCAAAACATTATGACACGAAATGGGACCTAGTCCTGAAGCCTACAAGAGGGGTGGTGAGTGCAGATGTTGCTGCCTGGAGTTTGAAAGAACCTGCAGCTTCTGAAGGAATATGAACATGAGCTCTGAGAAGCACAACTCCTGCCTGAGAGTGGTCCTTTCCTTCTTGCTTTGTTGAAAATCTTTCAAGTACAATGCTATTTGGTCTTTTGCAATCTGCTCATTATAAAATCAATAATATTTTAAAGAAATGCCTCAGGCTCCATGTGTTTACAAAAAAGACCTCTCAAATCTCCTTAGCCTCCTAAATGAATTGGATTTGGTTTTTATAGCTTTTCTTTAAAAATCCTTCTGTAGCTTGGAGAAAGCCCTTTGCATTTTTTATTACATATCAATTAAGCCAGATTTCAGATTGTAAGAACAAAGTGACAGTCACTAAAAATAGATTTTAAAGAAATAAAACAAATTTTGCTGCAGGAAGTATCACAAAATATCACCCAAGGCCGTTTGTTAGTATGTGAATACCAATGTGTCTGCCTGGAACGATACACATGCACATACATGCAAACCCACATGAACACCCGTGCATACCTATGTATGCACACATTTAGACAAGGAAGTGAGCACTTATAGATGGTGAGTGAGTGGTATGAAATGAACTGGGCTAGAAGAGCAACTCAACCCCAAATCATCTATCCCACCAGTTCCTATCAAGCCTGCCCCCTCTGATTTTGACATTTGCTTTAAATGGTCCCTATGGAAACAAAATCTTCATTCATCACTAGCATTCATTATCAGATTGCATGATACTGAAAACGTGGTGTTTACAGCTCATACTTAGAGCCTGCTTTAACACTGTCAGACACCTTTAGCAACATACCCTATTTCTTCCCGGTGACTCTGAGGTGGGCCTGGCCTCTCCCTGGTCACAATGTTGTTGTTTGGTTGTTGGTTGGTTTCCTATCGGATCCTTTGCTGGGTCATCATGCACCATACCCCAGCATGATATTTGGTGCAGCAGAGACATTTGGAAGTGCTGATCAGTCTCTTTTGTTTTGAAATTAACAACAGAAGCTAAGGACTACAACCCATCTCAGAACTGCACCATCACACAGACTCCTCTCATGTAGTCTAGCCTCAAGAGAGCAGGCACAAATAAAAAGGGCAAGCACAGACTACAGTGAGGAAGGGTAGGCAGAAGCCTTGGAAGGACACAAACAGACCTCTGCATGGCAAGCTATGGGCAAACTGTGGCATTCTCAGGAGTGGCGAGTGGGCTGCCTGGGGCTCAGGCAGCCAAGGGCATCGATAACAACACTGAGAGCACATGGCAATGTGCACACATCCCAGGGATAAGCTTTGCCTGCAATTCTCTGTGAGGCCTGGTATTGCATCGTGCAGCAAGGCCTGTTCCCTTCTCTGGGCATTGTTCCTCTAGAACATTCTCTAGGCCGCACTGCTACTCTGTCAATGTGTCCCCATTTGGGTCACCTTTTTGGGGCCTAAAGCCAATTTCCCCTACATTGTTTTATACATGAGTGAAATAAGACACTGAACAATTCATTTTCTTCTGGTAAACCTGCCTACAAAGTTGCAGCCAGTTTCCTCTCTGAACCAGCCTTCCCCAGAAGGGACAATGAGTCTTTGACAGGAGTTGTTTACAGTGACCTTTGTGGGTTTGAAGACAAAAGTCTTCTAACACTCACTCAGATGGTACACAACTGAAGCAGAAAACAAGCTTAAGTTTTATCTGGAACTTTCCTTTAAATACAAAATGAAGTTGAAGGAACAGAAGCTAAGGAACGCAAAAAGGACAGGCTTTAGAGCCTTCATAAAATCAGATTTGTGACAGCAAATGTTGGCCTCTATGAAAACATCTTTTCCCAACCCCAGGACATGTGGGCATCTGTTCTTGAGTCTTTGTGGGAGATGTTAGTTACCCTTATTCTTAGCCATACTTGCAGCCAGACCAATAGGAAAAGGTTAAACAGTCAACAAAAGAAGTGGTTCAAAGTTGTGAAACTCACTGCAGCCCGGCTTCTGGCACACCTCCCTCACCAGTTCCAGATGCCCTGTGGGTCACTCACCCATGAAGACAGGCACTGCCTCAGGAGGCTGCAAAAAGTAGTTCTGAGGGCCAATAGGGGCGGGGACATGTTCGGGGACTCTAAGTGTAGGGAGAAAAGGTTTTCTAAGACTTTTTCAGCAGATGCAAAGTCTAAAATGGAAAACTGACCTGAAGGACTAGGGATGGACACGGTGGCAGTGGTGACAGCCACTGTCTGTCAGAGGCCACAAAGCAAAGGCTTTCTTTTCTCCCTTAACCCTCAAAAGACAATTGTGCAGAAAGTGTGAGGCTTCTAGAAAAGGGAATAACCTCGATTTCTTTTTTCTGACTCAAATTTCTAGAAGCTATCTATACAGGTTTTGAAAAAGACTCCTCTACAAAGAATAGGCACAGAATTTCACTCACCTTTGCCTCTTCATTTACATCCCAGGTGAAGGAAACAGCATTGTATGCGATCTCTTCAATGTTTCCAATTGTGTTAAAGCTCTCCTTGTAATCGGCTATGACATTATAAAAGAAAAAGCGGTTAGAGAAGGGCAGCCAAGTGCGCTGGGATAGATGTAACCCCTATTGGGCGGGGGGTGGAGGCAGAAGGACCGGGATTCATGTCATCATCACAAGTCTGAGATACATGAGACCCCAGACACACACACACACATACACATACACACACACACACACACACACACACACACACACACACCGGGACGGGATGGGAGGTGAGAGGTAAGAGTCCTTAATGAGCAAATTTTAAACTTGCCTATTTTTCTGCCTCCACTGTGACAAGCTAAGGGTTTGTGCTTACATTCTTCTGTCTCTGTGAGAACATAGCATGTGCTTTTATTTATTGGAGGGGGAAGCGGGTGAGACAGGGTCTCCCTGTAGGCCCAACTGGCTGGAACTCACTATGTAGATCAGGCTGGCCTCAAACTCACAGAGATCTACTTACTTCTCTGCCTTTTGAGTGCTGGGATGGAAGGCATGCACACACCACCACACCCAGCACGTGTTCTTTTATTAAAAGTGTAAATCTCAGTGAACCAGTGTCTTTATCTGACTTATTAGTTTCATTTTTTACTAGATCTATAAAACAACTAAGATTTTTTTTCCCTTTCTGTACACTTTCCTGTCACTTCATTTCGTTCAGAAGCGTCAGAGTACTCCACAAGGATGTTTTTAGAGAACAACATATTCTGTCAACCAGGAAGTGTCACCAAAACTTTAGTAAAAAATTGCAGGGGAGTAAACTATGTGTGAGGATGAAACTCAGGGTCTCACAGATGCTCTGCCTCTCAATTACAGCCCCATCCCAACCCTAAGCCCAAGCCAAAGAAAGACATTTTTAAAATTTCTTTCTGAATGCCAGTTCTGAGACCAGATGTAATCACACTATCAGCACTTGACTACTCAAGGCTTCATCTTCTCTTCATTGCTTATGTAATTTGTATTTATTTCCTTGTATTCCTATTAAACTCCCCACAGACAATAACCATCAAGGTGTATGATGTATATTCAACATTGGGCTGACATCTCGGTGTACACAGTTTAGCTGTTCGTGAACTGTGTTGTACTCTGGACAGGTTTCCAGGATGTAGCAAATATTTAGGATCTACTGATACTAAAAAAGCGTTGGCTGTTTTTCAGAGCTCAGATTTAACTGGACACCTACATTTTACCTGACAGCCTTCACTATAGGACCCTTTCAGATCTAACTCCATTGCAGGTCACACGCCTGTTGCATCTGTGGCTACACAGAATTCAACGGTGACCAGCAGCTACAATTTGCTTATTTCTTCACTGCAAAGATGAGGCCTCCAGTGGTCTCTGCTGGCAGGCACCTCAGATGACACTGCACTAAGAATCCTTATTGCTGGGAGCTGAGTGGTTGGTTGCAGAAAACCCTATCAGCTGAGCTCTCTTGGCATGGCTCTCTAAAATCTCTAGTATGGGTCAGCCGGCCTTGCCTCACACCAAATTCTATACCCCCTCTTTCTCAGATCACTTCTACTTTTCACCTAATCTGAGGGGTTCAAAGTGGCATTACTGGATGCTATACTTGCGTTTCTTCCACCCCTTGGGTGCAAGCATCTCTTCACATGCATGGTCAAGGGTCTTCCTATGGAGACTGCTCAGTCATTTCCTTTACCCATGCTCCTATGGTCTCTCCTAGAGAAACTTCGAAACAAAACAATACATCTTTTCTGCTGTTGTTGCTGTTGCTTGGTTTTTCAGGGTTTTGAGACAGGGTCTCACTGTGCAATCTAGACTGGATCTGAAGCTTGAAATCCTCCTGCCTCATCCTCTGAGAGTTGAGGTTATAGGTATGAGCCACCAGGCCTGACCTCAGGTCTTCACATTTTAAATAAAGTATATTAACTTATTCATATAAAAGTGTGTGTATTGACAGGGCTGGAGAGATGGCTCAACAGTTAAGAACACTGGTTGTTCTTGAAGAAGACTCGGGTTCAAATCCTAGCACCCACATGGCAGCTAACAACTACCCATAACTCCAGTTCCAGAGAATCTGATGGCCTCTTCTGTTCTCCACAGGCATTGCACGACACGGGTGCACTTACCTACATGCAGGAAATACACTCATACACATAAAATAAAAATAATAAATAAAATATGTTTTTACCTAAAGTGTGTGTATTGAACATAGGAAAGTCTAAGTCCATAAACAAGTAAGAAAAGTGTTTAAAAGCAATCACAATCTATTGACTCACCAGATAACCACCTTTAAACATTATCTGTGTATTCATTATCTAACTCCCTTTTTCTAAAACATATTCTTCCACAGTAATTAATAATCATCTCTGGGGCTGAAGAGATGGCTCAGCAGTTAAGAACACTGGCTGTTCTTGCAAAAGACCCAGGTTCGAATCCCAGCATCCACATGGCAGCTAACAATTGTCCATAACTCCAGTTCCAGGGGATCTGACAGCCTCTTCTGTCCTCCACAGGCATTGCATGACACGGGTGCACTTATCTACATGCAGGCAATACACACATACATATAAAAATAATAAATAAAATATTTAAAAAATAGTATCTTTTAATTTGCTGAGTTACGTTGCTTAGCCAATCTTTAGCCTCTTCCTATGTTCAAAAACTGCTATAAAATTGTTATGGATCAAATGCCATTGTATTAGATTATACTTTTATTTTATTCATATTGGTCATTCTGCTGATAGACAATTCTATCTCAGCATTTCATTTATTTTTACAGCTAAATTTGGGGGGGGGGCGGTTCTTTTTTTGAGACAGGATCTCCCTGTAGCCTCAGCTGTATGGAATTCACTATGTAGACCAGGCTGGCCTTGAACTCACAGAGATCCACCTACCTCTGCCTCCCAAGTGCTAGGACTACAGGCGTGCACCACCATGCCTGGCCTACAGCTAAATTTTTAATAAATGTAATTATAATTCATTAAGGCATATTCTTGGGGGCTAAAGATATAGTTTGTTGGTAGACCACGTACTGGTGGGGGAGGGGAGGACTGGGTTCAATCCTCAACACTAAAAACTAAAAAGCATATTCTCAGGGCTGGAGAGATGGCTCAGAAGTTAAGAGCACTGGCTGTTCTTACAGAGACCTGGGTTTGAATCCCAGCACCCACATGGCAGCTAACAACTGTCCATAAATTCAGTTCCAGGGGATCTGACATCCTCTTCTGTCCTCCACAGGCACTGTATGACATGGGTGTATTTACATACATGCAGGCATAACACTCATACACATAAAAGTAAATAAATCCCCCCCAAAATTTAAGTGCATATTCTCAGAAATGAAAAGTAACCTGTCAAAGGGGTATTTTTGAAAAAAAAAATTAATATTTTATTATTTTTATTTTATGTGTATGAGCGTATTGCCTACATGTGTGTGTGTAAGTGCACCCATGTCATACAATGCCCACGAAGATCAGAAGGCGGCATCAGATCCCTTGGAACTGGAGTTATAGATGTTTGTTAGCCGCCGTGTGGGTGCTGGGAAGCAAACCCAGATCCTCTGCAAGAGCAGCCAGTGCTCTTAACTGCTGAGCCATCTCTCTGGCCCCTCAACAGGATATATGTTTAAATCTAACTGATTTTGTCAAACTGTTTCGGGAAAGGATGAAACAACTTACACTGACAATAACAGTATCCTGCTCCTCAGGTTGTCTCTTTCCAACTGAGCTACAAAACCTGGCATCTTATTATTTTAATTTGCAATTCCTTGATTGCTAAAGAAGTTGAACATTCTTTCTTTTGGTTGCTGGTTGTTTGTATTTCTTCTTATTTTTTCCTTGTTTTTAAAGTCTATTCATTTGTTTTGATGTTTTCAGTTTTATCCTTTCTCCATATTCCTCAGGGTAGTTGATATTTTCTACTAATTTTAAAATAAGCATTTTTCAGGAGGCAGAAGCAGCAGATCTCTGTGAGTTCAAGGCTAGCCTGTTCTACATAGTGAATTCCAGGCAGCTGGGGCTACAGGGAGACCCTGTCTCAAAAAGACCAAAAAATAATAAATAAATAAATAAATAAATAAATAAATAACCATTTAATGGCAAGTGAGAAAACAAAAACCAAATCAATTCTGCCCCCTACAAGGTTCAGATGATGCTGCTATATTTGGGATTACTTTAAATATAGTCTATGCTTTGGGCAAGCCAACAAGCTCTTACATTTTCAGAGAGAATTTAAAGAAATTGAATTTCTTGATTCTTCACTAACTGCTTTACATGATAATTTTTACAAGATAGTCTTAGTTTGTTTAAATGAAAAAACACTTTGGGGAAGGTCAGTTGTAAATAAGAAAGCAAATGTCACATCAAGAAATTAAGATAAACAAAGGGAGGTAGATCAAGCACTTATTTTAGATTTAGGTTTTGTTTTTTCATGACCTCGCTACCTAAAAAACTTCTCTCCTAAAAAAAAACAAACAAACAAAAAAAAAACAGTGTTAGCTGAAAAAAGGATTTCAAAAACAATGCAAACTATAAACACATAAGAGTTCTCTAATCTTTCACTCAACCAAATAACCGAAATGCTTACTATGTGCTTGTATATGCCAGACAATGTCCTCACTATGGGCAAAAGCAGAAAACATTTTAACTAGGTCCCTGATCTTGTGGGTCTTTCAGCAGAGGAGACAGAATATAAATAAGCACTAAAATTTATACACTTTTAAAGTGATATTTATGTTCTAGTTGATAATGTATATGTTCACATTCCCTTGTGGCAACATGAGGTCCTTTGCCTTCTCTAATCCTTGCAACTGCTCCATGAGGTAGGAACTGGCATCCTCCTCCAACAAAGAAGCTAAGCTGCTTGTGGAAATCACAAAGCTGGTAAGAAGTCCACTGTGATCTGAATCCAGGTCTGTTTGGTGCCAATGGCCATACTTTTAACTACTGCCTATAGTTATCATGCAAATTCAACAGTAAGTCATCCCCAGATACTGATATCACATCACATCCCCTTAACAACAACTACATTATAGAGAATGTTAAATTCAAGG